ATCCTCTACTGACCTTTGCACGGCCAACATGTTCGACAAGATTAGTAGATGATTCCCACCGCTTGACAGCATCTCTCAAGAGTAGAAGGCTCGCGACGGCTTCGGGATCTTTCCTTCGTGCCCATGCATGATACTTCATACCGGTTAATAGAAAAATCTATCACATAAAGTTGAGGCTTACCTGACAGAGAGCGCAACTAACGAGAGCGTATGATGTTGGGAACCAGGTTTCCCAGTATCGGTCGTGCTTGACGAACCACTCGATGGCAGAGCGAGAATTGTCTATAACTTTGCTCCATTCTGTCACGTTGAGACAGAATTGAATATGTGGTGGGCAGATGAAGCTGATTCGCATGAACACTCTCCAAAAGATCATGCAGACGCATGTATAATAGAGGTGAAGTAGACCTGTGATACAAGTTCACTACAATCATAGCTATTGTTTCATGATCTTACCTGCCGCAGGCCCTGAATCTGGTCCTGTGAATGCTAGTTCTTCTGGGAGGTGTATTTTCCATAGTTCCAGGCGACGCAGTATATCCTCCAAAATGGCATCGTTTGCGCTGTAAAGACCGCTGGGGCTGTACAAATCGTTAGATACCGATCAACATCAAGCTACAAACATACCTGTAAATCGCTTTCAACACCTCGCCCAGAATGATGGACAGCCTTGTAAGGGCATTGAGGTATCCGATACCTTGATCTTGCGGAGTAGGCAGCCGGACGTCACAGTCCGTTAGATCGATCATCTATACAAATTAGGTTATATACTACTTGGATGCGGTTTAACTAACCTGAGGATAGCCAAATGCCGCCGAATACCTAAATAGGCTTATTAGATCATTCGGCGTCTATCAAAGCTCGGGGATCATTACCATCTATCCGCGACAACACAGGTCGCCCAAAGCCTTCTCCGGGTTTCCATACCATCCCTGCTGATCTCTGCTCTATGGAGATTAAGGTCCTGTGCCATGCGGATGGCGGTTCCGGTCCTCGTCCACGCATACGACATGAGCAGATTGCCTTGTGTCCCATGACAGTCTCCAGCCATACTGAGAATCAGTAGGGCTTGCACGTTGGCTTGAGTTGGAGTTGAAAGGACATCCTCGCTGCGTATGAGACTGGCGACGGTGCGTCTCAGATGGTCGAATATTCCTGCAGGCGTATCTCGCAACGAAGCTGCCATCAAACAAATACTGTATAGAAGCATAGGAGGTGGGTTCGGTTGAAACGCAACAAATTCGGACTTGGTGATGACCGGAAAGATGGGGGAGATGTTTGAGAAGTAGCTATTGATAAGCCGTTCTACAATATCTCGCTCCACTCGTATGTCCATAGACTTTGGTAGTATAGGTTCGGATAGGGTAGGCTGGGATGGTTGCATTACCCTGATGTACCCGTCGCCGGCATTGACAACATTCCAGACACTTCTAGGATGTAAGCCAATGGAGTCTGTGTTTGGCAAAGGAAGTGTAGCCATAGAATTGATAAGGAAAGGAA